ATATTTTCAATTTGGGAGCGGATAGCTTATTAACTGACCAAATCATAAAACACCATGGTAGATACCTTAGTTCATCCTTCTAGTAAGCCTATTGATCTGGTCTTCTCTATTTCCAGATCACCTTTCACAAAATGGGTGCTCTTTTTCTTCACTCCACATCATGGAGATGATAACTTGAACAGCCACAGAAAGTTATTTGCCTCTTTGAAGCGTTTTCCAACAGAACAGATCTCATAAATCAGATCCTCCATGCAGATGATTCCATATTTACCAAGAGATTACGCAATCAATGAATTATCTGTCAAGGCAATTCGCTTCTTATTGACTTTGCCATAACCACGCTTGTATATTAGCTCATTTATTGACCTCAGGTTTGGGTACCCCCATGCAATGTATGGCTCCACAATTCTCAGCATGTTAACTGAAGCCTTGTTGAGCTTAACGAAGGTACCACTGAAGATTTGGCGCAGGCGAAGAGGCTGCAAAACCTTGGGGACCTTTGGGCTCACACCACTGATACCCCTGATCAGGATGACAAATGCCAGTTTGGGCTCTGCAGGAACATAGAAGTTGCCAGCTTTCCTCACCATCCTAGCCATTCGCATCTCAATTCTGTACATGTGTCTGTACTCCTTATGATAGTGTCTGGATTTTCATAGATGAGCTTCCTCCTCGCCTTGCGAAGTGTCTTCTGGGCAAACTTTTTTCTCAGGAGCTTTATCTTTGACTCTGTGGAATGTCTTTGCTTTTTCTTAAGGGTTTCTGGCACAATAGGAACCTTCTCTTTCTTCTCTTCTACACCCTCCATGGTTCCAGCCGGAAAAGAGGAAGTCCTCAAAACAACATTTTCTTGGAAGAACATTTACGAACATATATAGATACACTTATTCTTATACACACGCACACACATACACACTCACCTAAATTCAAAATTTTGCAAAATACTTTGAAATGTTTGACGGTTGTACATCACATACATATAATACGACCTTAAAGCACAAATGAGTTCTCAAAAAACACATTTTGGGAGATGGAATTCCAGGTGAAATGAACAAGAACATAGAAAAACTATCTTATAGATGAATGCAGTTAAATTTGGAAACGAACAGCATCACCCACTACAAATGATGTTGCCACAAAAAGCAAGTTCTTGTAGATGGAAAGCAATAGAATATGGTTAAATTAGAAATATTTATGTAAAACTTCCAGAAAGCTGGACATGGTGACTAACACATATAATCCCACCTACTTTAAAGGCTGAGGGAATATCAAGGTTCAAGGCCAGCCTGGGAAACTCTGTGAGGCACTGACTTAAACAAAAGCTAAAAACAGGCTGAGGCTGTGACTTGGTGCTCTCTGGATTCAGTCCTCAGCACCACAAGATTAACTGCCTGGCTCATCAAAAATTCTGTGAAAACTCCAAACTTAACTTTAAAAACTCCTAAACCGAAAGTTACTTACAAAATTTTCTTCATAGTATGTGCTACCTTTAAGCAAGATCACTTCTCACAGAGCAGAGTGAAGCTATGCTATTCCTTCCCTCAAATTTTTATTTCCAGTGGAAAGTAACATTTCATATCTAAACTTGCCCCCCGCATGTCACCAAGAGTGCCTTCTTTTGGATAGTCAAGATTACTGGTACAAGTGAGAATAGAGGGGCTGGCCAAATAGCTCCGTGGATGAAAGCACCTGCAAGCAGGCACAGAGGCCGGGGATTCAATGCCCGGGCCTGCCATGCCGGCCCCGCCCCTGGGGCATGGAGACTGCAATTAAGACTGGGTGTGGTGGCACTTGCCTGTACTCCCAGCTCTTGGGAGGGTGTAAACAGGCGGATCACTACGAGTCCGATCTAGTAATGAGACCCTGAACACCTTACAGATCCTTCTCTAAAAAAACAAAAAGTGAGAATGGAAGAAAGAAGGAGAGATGATGACTCCTGAACCTTTCACTAAACTTCTACTAGACAGTAAAAGAAAATAGATCACATACACTTCTGCAATGTATTTTTACATGGACATTCATACAAAATAATAATTTCATATTTGTTACCAATGTCAAAACCTGGATTAAAGTAGCTTACTACACAATTAAACTAAAACTGCTAAAAACTAACACAGTAAGAAATAAAAGAGAAAGGATAAGAAAGTAAATCTATAAGAAAGCTCTTTCAATTAAGCATAAAACAGTTGCAAATTTTAGTCAGCAAAGCAGATGTAGAAAGGAGATACACCAGTTTTTTCTGTCTAATAAAATAGGAGTAGGAATGGTCACATTTTTTCACATCTGTCAGACAGCATGCCCTTTATGTTATTAGTCTTGATCTGCAATTTGAAAAACACTACCTTGATCAGGTCTGACAAACATTTTCTGCAAAGTCTAAACAATAAATATTCAAGGTTTTATAAGTCATAGATAGTCTTTTCTGTAACCACTCCACTCCACTACAGTCAAATGAAAGCAGATAGAGACAATAATAAATACACAAATATCATGTGTTCCAATAAAACTTTAACTGTAAAAGTAGGTGAAAGCTGCATTTTGCTTGTTACCAGTTTGACAACTACTGATCTACAGTACACTAGAGCTATTTCATAATGAGCAATTAAGATACTAGTACAGTATCTCTGCATTACTGACAGAATACCTAGAACACATAGAGATTTAAAGAATATTCCCCAGTACTGAGCTGAGCACAGGCATACGACACCACAGCATGCTTCTCCATCTCCACACACATGAGATGCATGGCTTTTTTTTTAACTTTGTCAATGTGTTTTAGTAATATTCAATAAAACATGACGACAATCTGTACTGCACTTAACTTTATTCAGTCATTCTTTCAATCAGAAGTTTACTTATCTTTATAAACCATAAGGAGAACACAATTAAATCTTGTATCAAATAGGACAAAGTATAATAAAAAAAGATAAAAATTGTGAAGAAATTATTAAAAATCTTAAAACATTTACATTTTTAAAAGCAGTAATCTTTTTCCTTTTCTTTTCTTTTTTTTTTTTTTTTTTTTTGTGGAACCAGGGATTGAACTCAGGCCCTTGAGTTTGCCAGGCTTATTCTACTGCGCCATATCCCCGGCCCCTAAAAGCATTAATTTCTGAACCATACAGTAAATAATGACACACCACCATTTCTATTCCAAAGAGGAAACAAAATTCCTAAACTAAGTATTAAACTGAATGCTCCTAAACTACTAATTTTATGTTTAAGTTACTATTGAATGGATAATAACTTAAAGCCCTACATCTTGTATCAATTCTGAATCATGTTTTGATTAATTTAGTCTTGACTTACAATTTTCTTTCCACTGAAGCACTAATTAATGAAGTGGTGAAGATATAAAGAAAACTTACCTTTCAGTTTGAAGTTTAGTGGTTTTTACTATCAAGTCTTGAGTCTGTTCCTTTGCTGCCTAAAATAATAAATAATCCAACATTAGTGCATACCAATTTCATTATATTTCAAAACATTAAGACCATCATTCACTGTAGCTCAGGCTTACAGCAATGAGTAAACATCCCAAAACTCACGTTTAAAAAAGGCCCAGGAGTCTTCAGCATTTGCGCACCAATTACTGGTCCCTCAATGTCCAGACACACTAGTTACCCAATTGTGAGCACCTCCACAACAGTTGCCTGTCTTGGGAGTTATATTTCCTTTATATTATTTGTATTATTTAGAGGTCTTATATCATCCCTGCATCATTTGGCAGTCTCCTACTGAGATATCTGGATGGAAGTAAGAGTCTGGTTTGCTTCATAACTGCTGGATTGCTACATACTTAAGTAATCAAAACTGTCATATTTGTTAAAATTACATATGCTTTGAATTTTCTGCTCTTTGTCAGTTGCTTAGGCCTTATGTCTTTTATGTATTGATTTTGTTAAAATGATGCTAAATTAAAAAAAAAACAATGCAATACTCAAAATAAATAAATGAATAAATAAATAAATAAATAAAAAAGGCCCAGGAGTCAGGGAGATGGCTCAGTGGAATAAGCGCTTGCCTGGCAAGCACAGGGACCTGAGTTTAATCCCCGGTTCTGCCAAGAAAAAAATAAATAAAAATATAAAAAATAAAAATAAAAAAGGCCCAAGAAACTGCAATGGATGTGTCATGGCCCACACACCACCTCTAATAAGAGAAACTCCCTCAGAGTGCTCACTACTTATGTAGCACAAGGCTCTGGAGAAAGAAAAAGGGACATAGATACTGGCGAAGAAACCTCATAGTTTATTAGGCTTTCTTTTAATGAAACAAAGGCACTGAAAGAGCAAGTTAAAGGTGAAAATTTGACTTCAACCAAGTTGAGGAACTGAGAGCTCTTGCAAATTAAGTCAGCCAAAAGCTGGTACACAGTGTAAAGGAACTGCATGAGATGGAGATAAAAATTTGAGTTAGAAGATATAAACAACCTGCAAAGTAGGATTCTGGTGAGAATGAGAGACTGTCCCACCTAAAAGACTGTTCCTGACCAAGTGTCATGCCAAGCAATACTCTTTCTCCTAAGTCAAAGCCAAAAAGATTAGGAATGAAAACCTGATAAAAAAGAATTTTGTCCAAAGATTAAAAAATTCATGGAAAAAAAAAGCGTAGTAATGAGTGTCTCCCAAAGATCTAAAGTAGAGAAAACGACAAATACAAAGCAGTAAGCAATGAGGGGCACGTAGACATAAAGTGGGTAGACATATAAGGTCCCTGCCTTGAAGGGGCATGAGCCAGAATTTTGCACATACCAGGACCCTTGTAAGTGGAAACTACAAACAATGGAACATAAAACAGAGAATGAGTTAAGTCTGGTAAGAGGAGGATACCAGAGCAACACCTGCAGATACTGGACCATTTTCATACTCAAATACCGCTGTGGTTTGTATCTGGATGTCCCCAAAGCCTCATGCACTCAGTCACAGGGTAGACTTCTAGAATTTGTAATGAATCCATGGTCCAATGCTAGGATTACGGGTGACTGCTGCACCCTCCCTGGGGTGGACACTAGCCTGCATACGATATACGGGAAAGCTCTGCAATTTTGCTTGTGTTGCTTTTATGACCTTTTGTACTATGAACTGCTGCCATGGGCCACCCCTCTTTGGAACCAGCCAATTATGGATTGAAACTGCTACAAACTGTGAGCTAAATAAACCTTGGCTCCCTTAACTTAAGGTGCCAGGTAATTTGTTTCAGCCATGAGAAAAAACTAAGCAAACACTACACTAAACAGGCAAGATTCTCATCAGGTTTTTAGAGCTGCCTCCAATCTAGGCATCTGGGTTCTGGATTCTTAAGTCCTCATTCTCCAGCTCTAGATAGATACTTACTGTCTCGGCCTCCCTCCTACAAACAGTTCTCAGTTAAGATCTGTCTTACTGCTTTCTAGGGGTCCTGTTAATAACACTGTGTTCCCTGAAACCAATACGTTCCAAGCAAATAGTATTCTTAATAGATTTGCATATCAAAAAGTACACAAAATAGATTTTGATTTTTCCTGATTCTTCATTTATAAATAAATTGTGCTGATGACTCCAAAATAACATGTAAGCCAGGTATGGTAGCGCACGTCTATAATACCAGCACTCGGGAGGCTGAAGCAGGAGTGTTGCTGTGAGTTTGAACCAGCCTGAACTGCATAGTGAAACCCTGTCTCAAAAAAGCACAATAAGTAAATAAATAAAAACTGTAAAAGTAATACAAAATATCATTTAATAATACTTGCAAAGATTATCCTAAAATAATTTCCAGTTAATCTATCAGCAATGTTAAGCATAATTATTTTTCATTACATAATAAATATGCCTTTAAGTTTATATAAGCAAAGCCACAGCTAAAGAGATAAATTATAGCACATATAAAATTACTAAATTTTGAAATGCTATTTCATAGTAGTATTTTTTAATGCTTCATGTTTAATACATTTTACAGAACAGTAAGTACATTGATATTTTAATTTCCTCAAATGAGGAGGAAAAATAATTTAAGAAATACTTTTAAGAATAAATTTAAAACATTAAGCTAAAGTTGATATACGAATTGCTGTTACGATTTCAAGTTGCTAAATTACCCAGTCTATACTCGAACTCATGATCCACTTGCCTTAGTTACCCAGAGTACTGGGACTACAGGGAGGTATGTACTACCACGTCCGATGCAGAGTATGATTTTAGAAAGCACATTAACTTTCAATAACTAGAAGATGAGAAAAAGAAATAAAAGGTAAAGAAAGGGACAGTTAAAAAGCAGTTACTAAGCAACAGCAGTACTACCTATAAAAAATGTAAAATGGTGATAATACTTAGTAAAATTATATGAATATTTAAATAGTTTAAAAGTAAAGATTTAAAACCTGGACTAGATGCAGTCCTAGCCCAGGCCCCAGTGAGTGTGTGGGAGAGCTTCCTACTACCCTGCGCCTGCAGGACCTGCTGGTCCCAGCCCAGGTGCAACATGGATGAGACCCTCTTCTACCCTCTTGGAACCCCCCCACCATTCTGCAGCACCCGCCCACCCCGCCCGCCCAGTGAGAATTTCTACCGCATTCTGGGGACAAACAGATCCAGCCCTGGCCCAGGCTCGGTGTGTGTGCATAAGCTTCCTCTCCCCACTTCTCCACCTTATCCCCTCCAGACTCAGCTCAGGCCCGGCACACAGGCCTGGGGTGAAACCCTTCAGGTAAATCCATGCAGAGAGAGTAGGAGACAAAGCCACCCAGCTAGTCCAGGAGCAGAATATCTTGCCACAGGGGCACAACAGGTTCACCCCCCAAGGAAGGAGCTGAGCAAAGCAGCCAGACCCAAGACAGACACAGCTGCATAAATCCAAACTTTGTAGATCTACACCTGAACTTCAGTCTTTGCTAAGGTTATAACTGCAACAAAGATCTACAACAAAGGTCAGGAGACAATGCTACACAAAATGACAACGAGGGCTGGCGAGGTGGCTCAGTGGTCTAAAGCACCTACTTGGAACAAGCTTGGCAAAGCACAGGGACCGCGGTTCGATCCCCCAGCACCACATGCCAGCCAGCCCCGCCCCCTGGTGGGCTGAGCTGGCCACACACACACACACACACACACACAAAATAAATAAATAAATGTTTAAAAATAAAAATGACAATGAGAAGGAGCAAAATGCAATCTCAGAACCCAAGCCCACCCATAACAAGTGCAGAGGACACTAACACAGAACAAATTGGGAACCACACAGCTGAAATCAATGAATCAACAGCTTCTGAAATAAAGAAACTGCAGAAAGGTATAGAGGAACTCAGATTGGAAATGAAAAAAGAAATCTCTGAATTAATAGCATCTGCAGAAAAGAATCAAATGCAAAAACATATAGAGGAAACCCAATGCCCACCCAGCACAAGTGCAGAGGACACTAGCTCAGCTCAAATGTACGAATTAATAGCGTGGATAGTAAATAAGGAACACCATAAAGTTGCAGAGGAACTCAGCGTGAAATTCTTTTCTGAAATAAAAAAAGAATTCTCTGAACTCACAGCATCTCAAGTAAAGAATTAACTACAGAAACATAGGGAGGAAACCCAATCTGAAGAAAACACGGGAATAAAAGAATAACTGCTTCTAAAGAAGACATTGACAAAAACAAATAAAAGAGATTAGAAGAATGACAGATTCCTTGAATGAGCAATACAGGAAAGAAATAAGATTGCATGAAGCAGAGTCAAAGACATATAGAGGAATCACAAGCTTGCAAAACCGTTAAAGTGAAAGTGAAGACAGAGTTTCAGATTTTGAAGATGCTGGTGCAGCAAGTGAAAAGGTAAGAAAGGATCTCTTAAAAACAACTAGAATGCAGGAAAAAATAATCCATCACCTGCAAGACGATGCAAAGATGAACAATGAGACTAATAGGCACCAACTAGAAAAAAGGAGTCAATACAAATGACATTAAAAAAATATGGACAGAAGTAATAGCAGAAAAATTCCCAAATATGAGGAAACAATCTGACATTCAGGTAAGCGAAGCATACAGAATGGCAAGTAACCTCAACCCAATTAAAAACACACCGAGACAAATAATAGTCAAGATCCCAGAAATTCAACTCAAGAATAATATACTGAAAGCCGCTAGAGAAAAGAAGCAGATCACATTCAAAGGAAAAACCGTCAGAATTATGACAGACTTCTCTTCACAAACCATGAAGGCAAGAAGAGCATGGAACAGAGTACTTCAAGTCCTCTATAAAAATAAATTCCAGCCCAGACTACTATACCCTGCAAAACTCTCTTTCAAGTTTGATGGAGAAGTGAAATACTTCCATGACAAAGAATAGCTAAAGAATTTCGCAATGACAAAGCCAACCTTACACAGGCTACTGAAAGATGCTCTAGAAAGGGACCAAAATGATCAGAACTCCACAAATGAGATTGGAAGCAACCAACTAAATAGGAT